GCCAGGTCGCAGTTGTAAATGAGAACTTCTTCTCAACTGGCTTACCTGGTTAAATAAAGGTGAAATAAAAAATAAAAAATAATATATACTTGCGTACTATTGTTTGTACAGATGAACGTGGTACCTTCAGGCATTTGGAAATTGCTCCCAAGGATGAATCAGACTTGTGGAGGTCTACAATTTTTTTTTTGAGGTCTTGGCTGATTTCTTTTGACTTTCACATGATGTCAAGCAAAGAGGCTCTGAGTTTGAAGGTAGGCCTTGAAATACATCCACAGGTACACCTCCAATTGACTCAAATGATGTAAATTAGCCTATCAGAAGGAATCATTTTTCCAAGCTGTTTAAAGGCACAGTCAACTTAGTGTTACTTGTGTCATGCACAAAGTAGATGGACAAGGAATTTGTGGAGTGGTTGAAAAACAAGTTTTAATGACTCCAACCTAAGTGTATGTAAACTTCCGACTTCAACTGTGTATATATACACATATGTACATATATACGCATACATTGAGTATACAAAACATTAAAAACACCTGCTTTTTCCATGACATAGACTGACTAGGTGAATCCAGGTGAAAGCTATGATCCCTTACAGATGTCACCTGTTAAATCCACTTCCATTTTAGAATAAGGCTGTAATGTAACAAAATGTGGAAAAGTCAAGTGGTCTGAATACTTTCCGAATGCACTGTGTATATGTGTGTATGTGTGTATGTGTGTGTACTACATGACCAAAAGTATGTGGACACCTGCTCGTCCAACATCTCATTTCAAAATCATGGGCATTAATATGGAGTTGGTCCCCCCTTTGCTGCTATAACAGCCTCCACTCTTCTGGGACTTTCTTCCATTCAGCCACGAGCATTAGTGAGGTCTGGCACTGATGTTGGGCGATTAGGTCTGGCTCGCAGTCGGCATTCCAATTTATCCTAAAGGTGCTCAACAAACCATTTCTGTATGGACCTCGCTTTGTGCATGTGGGCATTGTCATGCTGAAACAGGAAATGGCCTTCCCCAAACTGTTGCCAAAAGGTTGGAAGCACAGAATCGTCTAGAATGTCATTGTATGCTGTAGCGTTAAGGTTTCCGTTCACTGGAACTAAGGGGCCTAGATTGAACCATGAAAACACAGCCCCAGACCATTATTCCTCCTCCACCAAACTTTACAGTTGGCACTATGCATTCGGGTAGGTAGCCTTCTCCTGGCATCTGCCAAACCCAGACTCATCCCGTCGGACTGCCAGATGGTGAAGCGTGATTTATCACTCCAGAGAACACGTTTCCACTGCTCCAGAGTCCAATGGCGGTGATCTTTACACCACTCCAGCCGACGTTTGGCATTGCGCATGATGATCTTAGGCTTGTGTGCGGCTGCTCGGCCATGGAAACCCATTTCATGAAGCTCCCAAAGAACAGTTATTCTGCTGACGTTGCTTCCAGAGGCAGTTTGGAACTCGGTAGTGAATGTTGCAACCGAGGACAGAGGCCAATGGTGACTTTAAAACAGTTAGTGTTAATTGCTGTGATAGGAGAAAACTGAGAATGGATCAAGAACATTGCAGTTACTCCACAATACTAACCTAATTGACAGAGTGAAAAGAAGGAAGCCTGTGCAGAATAAAAATATTCCAAAACATACATCCTGTTTGCAACAAGGCACTAAAGTAATACTGCAAAGTCTGTGGCAAAGCAATTAACTTTTTGAATTTTTGAGTTATGTTTTGGGCAAATCCAATACAACACATTACTGAGTACCACTCTCCATATTTTTTCAGGAAAAATAAATTATAGAATGGAGCCAAGCACAGGCAAAATCCTAGAGGAAAACCCTGGTTCAGTTTGCTTTCCACCAGACTTGGAAAGCTGCAGAGTCAACAATATATGAATGTTCCGTAAGGTTGTGCCCTGCTGACCGAGCCCAGATAACACGTAATAGGTCTATTGCCTGTAACTTTATTGGCCCACTTGATAACAGAAGTACAGTATTACGAAACCCCCAGCACTAATGTTAATTAGCATACTAGTTCCCTGATGCTTCTCTGTGGATAAAGTCTCAGTTCAATCCAAATTCACTTACTGTAGTTCAAGTTCAAGAAGTGTCGTAAACTGTTTACGTAGTCGTCAAATATGCTGTCTGTGTATCTAGACCCCTGACCCTTTTGTCTAAGGTAATTAGAAAATGTAATTGGGCAGTTAACAACACAAGAGATTAACATAACTGTTGTGCAACGAAGCTCATTGCTTAGAATTTTCTTAGCACTCCTCTGTGTGTGTGTGTGTGTGTGGTCAATTTGGATCAGAAACATGGCGACAGGTTGGGTAAACGGCGGTCATGAGAGCCCGGAGAGTCTGGCTATTCATTCCTCCTGGATCTCAGAATTCCTGCCTAATCCCGCATTGGGGAGATGGAGAGCGGATTAAGCGACGGGAAATATCCTTCCAAAAGGCCTATTCCCGCAGCTTTTCCAAGCCCTCGCAATCAGATTCCCGGGGAGTGTCTCTCCACCCTCATTTCCATCCTCTTGGCTCGTTCGTCTTCAGGGAGCGACGGGAGGGTTGCCCCACATGAAGGCACACCCGCACACATACACACTTAAATGCAAGTACACACACTTGTTTGCATACACAAGTTCACATGCATACTCACTTGCATGCACACATACTTGCCCAAGCACGCACATCCAAAATAGGCACAGACATGCATACACACACATGATAACATACGCACTATACACACACGTACACATGGATTTTGTGTTGTAGATATGTGGTAGTGGAGTAGGGTGCTGAGGGCACATATATAGTGTGTTGTGAGATCTGTTATGAATGTATTGAAATGTTTTTCCCGTAATAAATACAAATACAAGTACACGTGAATTGTGTTGAGGCAAAGTGTTCAGAGAACGCAAAACCTTTATTAATAGATTAAGATATTTATAATTTGGGTATCAACGACACTGTAAATTACTTTGTTTGTGCAAACTGTACCTACAGTTGAAGTCGGAAGTTTATATTTAAACACAGTTTTTCACAATTCCTGACATTTAATCATAGTAAAAATTCCCTTTCTTAGGTCAGTTAGGATCACCACTTTATTTTAAGAATGTGAAATGTCAGAATAATAGTAGAGAGTGATTTATTTCAGCTTTTATTTATTTCATCACATTCCCAGTGGGTCGGAAGTTTACATACACTCAATTAGTATTTGATAGCATTGCCTTTAAATTGTTTAACTTGGGTCAAACGTTTCGGGTAGCCTTCCACAAGCTTCCCACAATAAGTTGGATGAATTTTGGCCCATTCCTCCTGACAGAGCTGGTGTAACTGAGTCAGGTTTGTAGGCCTCCTTGCTTGCACACGCTTTTTTAGTTCTGCCCACAAATGTACTATAGGATTGAGGTCAGGGCTTTGTGATGGCCACTCCAATACCTTGACTTTGTTGTCCTTAAGCTATTTTGCCACAACTTTGGAAGTATGCTTGTGGTCATTGTCCATTTGGAAGACCCATTTGCGACCAAGCTTTAACTTCCTGACTGATGTGTTGAGATGTTGCTTCAATATATCCACATAATTGTCCTGCCTCATGATGCCATCTATTTTGAGAAGTGCACCAGTCCCTCCTGCAGCAAAGCACCCCCACAGCATGATGCTGCCACCTCCATGCTTCACGGTTGGCATGCAAGCTGCCCCCCTTTTCCTCCAAACATAACAATGGTCATTATGGCCAAACAGTTCTATTTTTGTTTCATCAGACCAGAGGACATTTCTCCAAAAAGTACGATCTGTGTCCCAATGTGCAGTTGCAAACCGTAGTCTGGCTTTTTTATGGCGGTTTTGGAGCAGTGGCTTCTTTCTTGCTGAGCGGCCTTTCAGGTTATGTCGATATAGGACTCGTTTTACTGTGGATATTGATACTTTTGTACCCGTTTCCTCCAGCATCTTCACAAGGTCCTTTGCTGTTGTTCTGGGATTGATTTGCACTTTTCGCACCAATGTACGTTCATCTCTAGGAGACAGAACGCATCTCCTTCCTGAGCAGTATGACGGCTGCGTGGTCCCATGGTGTTTATACTTGGTTACTATTGTTTGTACAGATGAATGTGGTACCTTCAGGTGTTTGGAAATTGCTCCCTAAATTGCTCCCAAGGATGAACCAGAGTTTTCTTTCTGAGGTTTTGGCTGATTTCTTTTGATTTTCCCATGATGTCAAGCAAAGAGGCACTGAGTTTGAAGGTAGGCCTTGAAATGCATCCTCAGGTACACCTCCAATTGACTAAAATGATGTCAATTAGCCTATCAGAAGCTTCTAAAGCCATTACATAATTTTCTGGAATTTTCCAAGCTGTTTAAAGGCACAGTCAACTTAGTGTATGTAAACTTCTGAACCACTGGAATTGTGATACAGTGAATTATAAGTGAAATGATTTTTGAGCTTTTTAATGGAAATTCCAAAGCCAAAAATTGTGAACATTCAATTCCATTGTCTCTGTCAGGTCCACATTGGGTAGACATCAATAGAAAAATAGGAAATTACGATGAAATAATAACATATTTTAGTTGTGTATATTACTTTTGAAACTTTTTTATTTGACTTTATTATTTTTCAATCCTAAAAGCCTCATCTCATTTCTGATCAGGCAGTAGCAGCCAGCCAGCCAGGCCATCTGTTATCTTTGCCATTGCTCCCCATACTGTACTGTCTTTAGTCATCCTATTTAGCTAGGCTATGCTACAGAACTGTCTGACAAAATCATTTTTACTAGTTCTTCAAAGTAGATAAGGCATACTTTCACAAACTTTCTCTATCCCTCTCGTCATTGTGTTGTGTACATTCCTCTCTTATGCGGTCTGTGTGTATCTAACCTAATGTAGCAGGCGTAAAAGTGTATCCATCTCTGCCCGAGCCGGAAAGAACATGCGCAGTGGATTATGGTCATTGTAGTTGGAGGTTGCAACATGTTGAAAATAAGAAGAACGTGACTTGTAAAAAACGGTGCATGATGTCCTGGTTCTTCCATGTCAATCAAGGCTCAAACCAGCAGCCCCCTGGCATGATGCCCCCAGCTGCTGGCACCCTGTCCAGCGACACACACTATCCCAACATCAGTAGCAACACACTGGATACAGCTAACACTGCTGGACAGGATTGGTTCTGCACACAGTCCAGTTCGTCTTCACCCAGCCAGGCAGACTTTCCGTCAGTACCACAGGGTTTAGTGCCTCCCAGTTTGGAGAACCTATCTTGTACCTCTCTGAACTCAGCGGCAGGCAGAGAGCCCCTGCCACTCTCCTACGTAACTCTTCAGGTGCAGCGTTGTGTGTTGAGCTGGTTCCTGAGCTGGGGCACTGCCCAGAGGGAACGGTTTCTGCTGGACCTGTTGGGGAAAGCTGTGCCAGGGAAAGTGTGTACCCTCCTCGAGTCGCTCAATACGCTACAGGTTAAGGACAGCCCACCAAATATATTTGAATGCCAACTGCGCCTCTGGACCCAATGGTTTGAGTCATGGAGTGAGGAGGAGAGGAACAGTTTCCTGCACATTCTAGAAGAGAGGGACCCGATCTTTGTTGCCCACTTCTACAGAGGTGTAGCTGGGACAGCAGGCAGGGATTGAGGGATACGGGAGAAGAGGGTGTAGAATGGATAGACAATGCGTGAGTGGTACATGGGGAAGCATATGTGTGGAGACGGTGAAGAACGGGGGGGTGGTTAAGAGCGTTGGGCCAGTAACTGAAAGGTCGCTGGTTCGAATCCCCAAGCCAACTAGGTGAACAATTCCGATGTGCCCTTGAGCAAGGCATTTAACCCTAATTGCTCCTGTAAGTCGCTCTGGATAAGAGCGTCTGCTAAATGACTAAAATATAAATATAAAATATAATTAATTACCAAGTTTCTGCGCTGAACTAGGTTGAATAATTGCTTCATGAAAACTACAACTCCCTTCAGCCCAGCGTCCCACATAGTTCTTGATTTCTCTCGTGAATGATGAGATTTTTCTCTAGAGAAACGGCGCGCTGGGCTCACAAAAATAATGAACTAAAAGGAATTAAAATAATTGAACCGACGTAGGTCAATTAGTTGTTTAATAACCCCCCCAAAAAACAGAAATGGCTGTGAATCGCTCAGCACTAGACTATTCTAACACTGTCTCGCCTGTGTCTAATCCTGGACTATACAGAGAGCCAAGTCAGAGCCTGGTGAGAAGCTCTTATCAGATCCATCCCATAGAGGCATGCTCTCAGTCTCACCCCCATTCACCCTTATGGGGCTCAGCCTTATCTTTAGGACAGAGCTGACAATAATACAGACTACTGGCTGGCCCTTTTTATGTGCCACAGGGGCAGATCCCAGATCAGATGGCAGCTGTGCCAGGTGTGTGGGTTAATGGATGGATGGATGGATGGATGGGTGGATGAATAAATGAGGGCCAGATAGGGTTAGCATGCTCTTTCTCTGTATTCAACCTAGGATAATGTAGACAGTAATCATACATTTGTATCATTGTATGAGTCCCACAGCACGTCATTGCCTCTTTTAAGAATATACAACAATTGCATATAATTGCAATTTTTGAAACCTCTTGTAAGACTACCATATTTGGTCCTGACCTCTACCATGCTTCTCGCTCATGGTCATGTATCTGCGAGTGTGTCCATGAGCACACATGTGTTTGTGAGTTTCTTGTCTTCACAGATTAACACCAGTGTTTGCATTAGTCCTTTTGATGGTGCAACTGTGAATTACAGGTTCTGATAAATTTTTACCGGGCATCGGGTGTGAGTGTGTGAATTCCTGGTTTTCAGATATCAATAACAGACATAGTGGAAATGTGTTAGTGTTTAAATGTATAAGGTTAAAGTGACACAAGTGACGCTTGGAGTGTATGCAGCTGTTGGTGTGACAAATAGCTGGGCAGAGTGGATTATTTGGTTTACGTGTGTTTGCATGGGTGTGTGTGTGTTTGCATGTGTAATTGCGTGTGTGTATACTGTGTATGTTTGCACACGTGTCTGTGTGTGTGTGTGGCACATATTTATAACATACAGTACCAGTCAAAAGTTTGGACACACCTACTCATTCATTCAAGGGTTTTTCTTTATTTTTACTATTTTCTACATTGTAGAATAATAGTGACGACATCAAAACTATGAAATAACACATATGGTTGAATTCCTGCAAAGAAACCACTACTAAAGGACACCAATAAGTAGAAGAGACTTGCTTGGGCCAAGAAACACGAGCAATGGACATTAGACCGGTGGAAATCTGTCCTTTGGTCTGATGAGTACAAATGTGAGATTTTTGGTTCCATCCGCCGTACCTTTGTGAGATGCAGAGTAGGTGAATGGATGATCTCCGCATGTGTGGTTCCCACCGTGAAGCATGGAGGAGGAGGTGTGATGGCGTGGGGGTGCTTTGCTAGTGACACGGTCTGTGATTTATTTAGAATTCAAGGCACACTTAACCAGCATGGGTTACCACAGCATTCTGCAGCGATGCGCCATCCCATCTGGTTTGCGCTTAGTGGGACTATCATTTGTTTTTCAACAGGAAAATGACCCAAAACACACCTCCATGCTGTGTAAGGGCTATTTGACCAAGAAGGAGAGTGATGCAGTGCTGCATCAGATAACCTGGCCTCCACAATCACCCGACCTCAACCCAATTGAGATGGTTTGGGATGAGTTGGACCGCAGAGTGAAGGAAAAGCAGCCAACAAGTGCTCAGCATATGTGGGAACTCCTTCAAGACTGTTGGAAAATACAGGGTTATACAGTGCATTCGGAAAGTATTCAGACCCCTTTACTTTTTCCACATTTTGTTACGTTACAGCCTTATTCTCAAATGGATTATAAGCTAATCACATTTACATAAGTATTCAGACCCTTTACTCAGTACTTTGTTGAAGCACCTTTGGCAGTGATTACAGCATTGAATCTTCTTGGGAATGACCCTACAAGCTTGGCACATCTGTATTTGGGGAGTTTCTCCCATTCTTCTCTGCAGATCCTCTCAAGCTCTGTCAGGTTGGACGGGGAGCGTCACTGCACAGTTATTTTCAGGTCTCCAGAGATGTTCGATCGGGTTCAAGTCCGGGCTCTTCAGAGACTTCTCCCAAAGCCACTCCTGCGTTGTCTTGGCTGTGTGCTTAGGGTCGTTGTCCTGTTGGAAGGTGAACCTTCCTCCCATTCTGAGGTTCTGAGCGCTCTGGAACAGGTTTTCATCAAGGATCTCTCTGTACTTTGCTCCGTTCATCTTTCCCTCGATCCTGACTAGTTTCCCAGGCCCTGCCGCTGAAAAACATCCTCACAGCATGATGCTACCACCACCATGTTTCACTGTAGGGATGGTGCCAGGTTTCCTCCAGACGTGACGCTTGGCATTCAGGCCAAAGAGTTCAATCTTGTTTTCATCAGACCAGAGAATCTTGCCTTTTGGCAAACTCCAAGTGGGCTGTCATGTGCCTTTTACTGAAGAGTGGCTTCCATCTGGCCTGATTGGTGGAGTGCTGCAGAGATGGTTGACCTTCTGGAAGGTTCTCCCATCTCCACAGAGGAACTCTGGAGCTCTGTCAGCGTGACCATCGGGTTCTTGGTCACCTCCCTGACTAAAGCCCTTCTCCCCCGATTGCTCAGTTTGGCCGGGTGGCCAGCTCTAGGAAGAGTCTTGGTGGGTCCAAACTTCTTCCATTTAAGAATGGAGGCCACTGTGTTCTTGGAGACCTTCAATGCTGCAGAAATGTTTTGGGACTCTTCCCCAGATCTGTGCCTTGACACAATCCTGTCTCGGAGCTGTATGGACAATTCCTTCGACCTCATGGCTTGGTTTCTGCTCTGACATGCACTGTCAACTGTGGGACCTTATATAGACCAGTGTGTGCCTTTCCAAATCATGTCCAGTCAATTGAATTTACCACAGGTGAACTCCAATCAAGTTGAAGAAACATCTCAAGGATGATCAATGGAAACAGGATGCACCTGAGCTCAATTTCGAGTCTTATAGCAAAGGGTCTGAATACTTATGTAAATATTATTATTATTTTTTTTATTTTTTTTTATACATTTGCAAACATTTCAACAAATCTGTTTTCGCTTTGTCATTATGGGGTATTGTGTGGAGATTGAGGGGAAAGGCTGTAACGTAACAGAATGTGGAAAAAGTCAAAGGTTTTGAATGCACTGTACAGGTAGATATGTACACTCACTCACTCACTCACTCACTCATGTACACTTACGTCCATGGTGTCTCACACACACCGACACATAAACAGGCTTTCAGTATCAGTACTGGGAGGTTTCTGGTTATCTCACCTCAACCATACATTTGTCAGTTCCAGTTAACAGCAGAGGAGCAATTAGGTCCACACTCCAAGGTGTCCTCGGTCAACCTGTTACCTTTGAACCTCTGGGCCTTGCTTATAGAGATTTGTCAAGCCTGTTGGCATTCATGCCTCAGCTTGGGTACTGTAAGCCATTTAGTGATTGCAAAAGTGAAGATCCCCATCTCAAATGCCAAAACAAGACAGACCATATCAATCTCAGGCAGCCAGTGTAGATGAAGAGAGGATTATAGGGATCTTTGTCTCTGGCTCAGCCATGTTTTACAGGGAGCATGGAGTGTGTCTATGGGAAAGATGGGTGCAGGGATAGGGAGGGAACAGGAGGAAGGTAACGGAGAGATGGATAGAGAGATGTCAAGGTGAGTGGGAGGGCAGAGACGGACAGAGAGGGGAGAGGAAAAGAAGCAGAGACTAGTAGGAGTGAAGGAGAGAGGGAGCGAGGAGGAAGAGGGAGTGTTGCGTGTTTATGAAGTGTGCAGAGATGGTAGACACGCAACGGGGAGATTATCTGTCTCAAGCCGAAGGACGTTGACTGTGGCGTATTGCCACATATCTACCAATCTGTGTTTTTATATACACACACTCACCGCCGACACATACACACGCACTGCCTGAGATTGTTTTTGCCAACTATCTTATCTTAGCTTTGTCTGGAGTCTGGACAGAGAGGAAGTACAGTGGCGTTTGCAGGGTTGTTTTAGGGAGCAAGGTATGGGGTAACGTGTCCTGAAATGGAACCTATACTTTACTTTGTCTTTTTACTTCAATGTAGACTTTTTGCTCAAATTGGCCCCCAAACCCACATCGTGGAAACATGTTCAGTTGAAACCAGAAGAAAGCAGTTGTGACTGTGTATTCTACACCATGATGGAGGATGGGATAAATGTTCAATTGAAACCAATTGGGCACAGTACATTTTGTCTTGACAGAATCCACTACACCTCCTAAGTAATGAGTTTGGGAAACAATATAACTGCTCTCCTCAGATTATTATAACTGAAATCTATTGTGAGTCTTTTGTGGAACTATTATGGATCATATGATTCTGTAGGTTAGAGCATGGTGCTAGCAGGGAGGGTAGTGAGTTAAAGATTTCCGCAAGGGCCATAAGAATAGTTCACACCTACTCTCTCAGCCAATTTAGAACATGTCTCAAACTCCCCAGGAGCCAATTAAAGGAGGGCGCTTATTATTATGGGTGACAATTGTTTTGGGATGTTTTGGAAGCAATGAGGGTTGAGGCTGTGTGTCTGTCTTTCTCTGTCGCTGTCGCT